TATACATACACGATTCGATTCACTAAAGCCCACCTAATGGGCGCCATGGCAAAGTTAAACCAAAAATGGTCACCCCTAACTGATGTAACTTTGCAGCGATGCCAATTAGTAAAGAGGTTTAAATGGAGCACAAGCCTTCGATAGCAAAACATAAAGACTGTGATGCCATGTATTATTCACTAAATCGCTTTGCAGTTTCATGTTCTTTTTTGGGGCATTAAAGCTATGCATAGTGAGACCAGGTGTAACATATCACGAGTCTAGCAATGTCAGTACAATTAAACTTTTCAGTTCTGCAATGGAGAGCACTAGGGATGGCATGCTTTAAAAAAAAATATTAAATTCATAATAAAAATTAATGTTATCATTTAAAATTGAATTATTAATGCCCCTATCCCACCACCAATGTACATACACATACACTATACTCCCGTATATACACTACACCACCTATATACACACACTCTGTGTCTCCTATGCATGTACTACAAGCTGCCTATACATGCACTGCACTTTCACACACACACACTACACCACCTACACACACAGTGTATACCCCCTTATATACATACTACATCCACAACACACACTGCATCGCCTACACAAACTCTACATCACCTTATACACACACATCCGCCTGTACTCACATGTTACATCCCCTATTCACACACTATACCACCAATACACAAATACTTCAGCCCCTAGAAACAAACACACACACTACAGCCCCTATACGCACACACATATCTGAGAGCACGTGAGAAGGTTGCAGTAAATGGGTTGACCTGCAGTAGCATCAAACAAACAATACTCATTTTGGGAAGCAATATGCCCCTCAGCCCTTATGTTGGGCTGCCCTCTAATCACATTCCTAGCCTGAATTTGTATCCCAATCTGTCTCCGATTGGCTATTTCTTTTTAAATAAATACATAATCAGACAAATAGAAAAGTTCGGTTTATTTGACCCCAATGTCAGGAGTCAAGCCCCCTGAACAAAATTAAATCCAGGAGGCAGCATACCCAAGCTGTCACTAAAGGGGCATGTCTATGTTTTGTACTCTATGTCTCTATGATAAAAAAAATCAATAGATTTAAAAAAAAAAATTTGAATGGACGAATTGCCCTCTCAGCATGGCGCAGTGCAACTGTTGTCATCGTGTAACGCCGTTCTATTAACATTTTGTAATGAGTGGAACTGCTTCCAAGTGCTAGCTTAAAGAAAGACTCTCACTTTTTAAGTGTTTTCATATTATGTTCACTTCTTAACAAATATGTAATTGTGAGTCAAAAAAGATATTAATTAAAGGTAGAAATCCATAATAAATAAATAAATAAATAAATAAATAAAATAAAGGGGTATGTCTCCTACTTTCTACTGCTGTCAACAAACTCACGATGCCATTGCCACTGAGTAATGTAATGCTACTTTGTAGTTACTTGCTGGGATTACATTAATGACTTTCATCTGATGCACTCCCAAGGATCAGAACCCATCCTGTGTTAAACCTCTCTATGTAAATGTGGAACTCTGTGTACCAGACCCTTGGACAGCTCTTACAAAAAAAATCACCTCATCTGCTACCTTTCCCTTTCTTGACCTATTCCTAGCTCTTAATATCATTTTTATTTATAAAGCACCAATAAATTCCACAACACTGTAAAATTGGTGGACTAAGAGACAAGTATTTGCAACAAGACGAGATGCATACACAGGAACAGTGTTTTTTTTAGAGCTTACATTCTCACTTTGCCTAGCTGGATACCATTTACTGGATAATCACCTTATCTGTTACCTTTGCCATTTCTGATTCTTGTCTTTTTGCTTGCCTGGATTCTAATTTAAGTTAACTACTTTCTATCTGTTTATATCTCTGTCAGAAAAGAGTCTGATATCAACATGGCCTCATTAATTCCAAACACAGAGGCTCTTACCTGAGGGGACAATCCCCTTATCAATTGTGCGTGTAAATTCCCCAATCTTCTGGCCAGTTTCCTTAGACTCCAAAGTCTCCTGGACTGACACACTAGACCCCAAGGGGATTACATTTTGCCCAAGTGACCCCAAGCCACTCCCCCCATAATTAAAGGGACACTATAGGCACCTAGACCACTTTAGCTAATGGAAGTGGTCGAGGTGCAGTGCCCGGTTCATGTATCTTAATTCTTATGTGAGGTTTATGCTGGACTGATTGTTTTATGATTTATATTCACCATTGAACATGTTTAATACTGTCTCCTGTCTAGATGACCTACGTATGATCCTTTTAACCCCTTAAGGACAGAGCCAAATGTACACGTGAACAAAACAAAATTTAAACAAAACCTGGCATTTGCGCTACATGTCTGTCCAACCGTAATTCACCTCTTTCATAGTAAACGCACCCACCCTTATTATATATATAATTTTATTCAGGGGAAACAGGGCTTTCATTTAATATCAAATATTTAGCTATGAAACATAATTTAATATGAAAAAATGGGAGAAAAGAGTTTTTTTTATTTTTTTAGTTCTACATGACATTTTAACTGTCAATGTCATAATACTGTTTGCTTTTACTGCAATAAAATACACATATTGGTATTCAGCAAAGTCTCACGTGTAAGAAAGTACCCCCTATTTACAGATTTCATGGCGTTTTGGGAAGTTACAGGGTCAAATATAGTACGTTACATTTGAAATTGAAATTCGCCAGATAGGTTATGTTGCCTTTGAGACTGTATAGTAGCCCAGGAATTAAATTTACACCCATAATGGCATACCATTTGCAATAGTAGACAACCAAAAGTATTGCAAATGGGGTATGTCTAGTCTTTTTTAGTAGCCATTTTGTCACAAACATGAATGAATAATGATCTAAGTATACAATTTTTCTTTTTACCCTTGTTAACATTAATTTATTTTATTTCCAGCCAGCAGAGGGACTACCTGTCATTACAGGCAGTCCCCCTGCTGGCAATGTAGCAGCCAGCTAACCCTGCCATGTGATTGTGAGTTCCTGCAGGAGGTCCGATGTGCCGCGAGGGGCTCCCTGGGAGTCCCCACAACCGCGATCGCCGGCGTGGAATCGCCGGCGACCGGGCAAGTAAAAAAAAAAACAGAGGGCGTACTATTACGCCCGACGGCGTTTAGAGCCGCCTAAAATAGGGCGTAATAGTACGCCCTCCGGTCTTAAGGGGTTAAGCATAGGACTCTTCTTGGCATAACATTTTTCCTCCTTATGTTTTTGATATTTAATTAGCTTCATAATTTGTAAACTCATTGAGACCATATTTTTTTTACATTTTCTAATTTAAGAATCTATTTTTTAATTTTTTTTTAAATCTGTCTGGTGGCTCCTTAAGAAGACGTGACATCCCAATATAGGTACAGGATTTCACAATGGATGGACTTTGAAAGCATTCAATCGGTCTCATTAAAACATTTCTGAGTATGCTGCTTGACATCTACAACAGGGGTCATCTGCAATCCATGGCCTCTCAAATGCTTTGTGGACACCAATCTATCATTGAATGTTTTAACCCCTTAAGGACACAACTTCTGGAATAGAAGGGAATCGTGAAGGAATATTTCCATCATGTATCCTTAAGGGGTTAAAGTTGTATATCCATATCAGTTGATGGAACCACAATTTTCCAGTAATGCTCCATAATTCTTTTACACTGTAATCATTGGGTAAAACCATCCGAATGTTAATGAGTAAAACACAAAAAGAAAACAGATATTACATTCTAAAGTATCTGTACTTGTTTAAGAAACAGAGAACGTTTCCCTATGTTTTCTTATTTTTTTTTCTGTTACGGAAACTACCATTACTCCGTAGTGTCAAAATTCTGTAAAAATTAAATTCACCAAAGCAACATTTTGTCATGTTAAATTGTTATTTCTGTACATGTTGATCGTAGCTGAGATACTGTAAAATGCATTCTTTCCATATTAAGAATTTGATCTGTAATTAAAAAATAATACTATCTATCTAGTAGTGAGCTGGAAGCTACAGCAGTAATGGGAGAACAATAAAGTACATAATTAGCACATGATAATGAAACCATATCTGTCATTTCTGGTGTGACACATAAAAATATTTTATAATGATAATTATTTGCATGTGAGTAAGCATGACATATTTATTAATAGAATCAATTGGATCTTTAATGAAATGTATTCATACGATGTGTTAATCATTTTCCATCTCTCCCTCTAAATCCAGGAGAATGATTAAAAAAAAGATACAGAGTCCCATTTTGCTTCTGCTTCTCTGGGAGAATGTTACACACATATCATCGGAATGATTGTTTCAAATAGAACCATTTCAGAAACCTTGAAACAAACAACACTAATGAAAATTAATGTACAGGAAAGCTAATTCAAGAGCAAACTAAACAATGATTTTTTCATTTGTCGTTTTATTACATGGTGTGAGTAAGAAAGAATATGATATTGTGCTCTAGGTAGATTTTTTTTTTTTTAAAGGGCCACTTTAAGCACCAAAAAACCTCTAGCTTAATGAAGAATTGTTGGTGTATAGATCATGCCCCTGCAGTCTCACTGCTCAATTCTCTGCCATTTTGGAGTTAAATCAAAGTGTGACTTGCACAGCCTTCCTAAACACGTCCTCCAAAGAGAGAACTAATGTTTAAACTTCCTTTATTGCACATTTGTTTCACTTTAGAATTTCTTATCTTCTGCTCAGTTAATAGCATTCTAGACCCTGCATGAACCTTCTGTGTGTGATAAAATGTTTTATTTACAGATCAGGAGATAAAAACTTCTAAAGCGAGTTAACATATTGAAAAAAATACCTTTTTTTTAAAGAAGGCTGTATGACTCGCAGGCAGGGGAGGTGTGACTAAAGCTGCATAAAAATAAAAAAAGTGATTTAAAACCTAAATGGCAGAGAATTGTGCAGTGAGATTGCAGGGGTATGTTCTATATACCCAAATAGTGATGTCCCGAACAGTTCGCCGAACGGTTCGAGAAAGGTTCGCCACGGACTCCAGTCAGCAGACACATTCCAGCCAATCAGCAGCAGACTCTCCCTCCCAGATTCTCCCACACCTCCCACCTCCTGGACAGCATCCATTTTGAAGCTGCATTCTTAGTGAGCTGTCCAGGAGGTGGGAGGGTCTGGGAGGGAGGGTCTGCTGCTGATTGGCTGGAATGTGTCTACTGACTGGAGTCCGTGGCGAACCGTTCGCAAACCGTTCGACGAACCGTTCGGGACATCACTATACCCAAACGGCTTCATTAAGCTGAAGTTGTTTTTATTTCCTTTAAGGGTTTATCTTGATATTCTGGTAGTATTTACAGAATTTTGCTAGTTGTTGGTCATAAATTCCTGTGCTACGGTATACTATTAAATGTATACAATTGTCTGTACACAACACATTATCCTTAATTTTGCCCTTTTTTTTTATATCACACTATCAAATAATAAACCAATTGTTATTGTTATCGCTACAGCTTGTCTAACATAGGTAGAATATCCATGGAGTTATTTACTGCGGTGAGAATTGTCAGGAATTCAAACTAAATTGTAAGTTTTAGATGAAAAAAGCTGAACTACAAGCATAGGTGACTTGGAGATTTCTTTTGCAATTAATCTATTTTGACATTAAATTTGGAATTCACTTTGAATTCCCAAAATTTTTCACTTTAGTATATTACTTTTCCAATGTCAATATAAGCCATGCTAAATAAAAAAAAATTCCCCTATCCACAGAGAAAGACTCCTCGGTCCTGTAATTGACTATATAGTACTCAAATGCAACTTTTCACACTGAAATGTTCGTTCATGATTAATATATGGACTATAACATATTTTATTTATTTATTTACTAATTTATGAAGTGTTTAACCAGGAAGCTTACAGTAAAACTTCTGTAGTTTTCACTCAGATCCTGGAGAGCACAAGCTGATCAATAATTCAGCTAGTTGCAATCAAAACTCCGTATTGTATAATATATATATCATTGCCAGCTATTACTTAAAATTTTCATTTGTAGGTACAGATATGCAGTAGTTGTTTTGAGAAATCAGATGGTTTGATATTATCCAGAAGATTATTTGCCAAGTATGGAGTTTCGTAAAGGACCACTTTCTTTTAGTTATATAACCTAGTAAGTAAAGTGTTGGCATTTTTGATGATTTAAAGCATGTTGTATTTTTCTGCCCCAGGGCAAACAGTCCATATTTCCACTCTATTATTAGATTAGAACATATATATATTTCACAGCTCTAAAAATCCACTTCTTAAGTGAAACATGGCAAATAGTATGCAACCCATTCACTTTGCATACATTTCTGTAGCATCAATTCTTGATTATTAGAGTATGTATCCCTCCTTTTTAAGACATCTTCTAGAACAACAATGATTCTTGTTTGGAATGTACATATGCTCTAAAAGAATTTACCATCTTGCACTGAATCAAAATCCCTTCCCTCTTCTTTGAACAACAAAAGTCAACTAGTTAACTAGTAGGAAGGAAACAGAATGGGTTTACATTCATAATAAAAGCCTATTAGAACAATAATTGTAATATGTTATATTATCAGTGAAATAAATTAATGTATTTAAAATGTCATGACAAGTAAAAATAAATATTTTTTTCTGCATTAAACTGTTCTATGGCTTAACGCGGAAGCATCTAAAAAAAACTGCTAATACTTATTTTGTTTGTATTAGGCTTCTGCTTTCTGATTGACTTCAAAATGTGTCATGTGACATGCATCAGTTTCTCTCTACTAAAAACAATACCTGGATCCAATTTTGTATTTTTGCCAGATCATCATGAAGAGTGGATACAGATACAGGTTCGAGAATGGAGCTATCATCAACCACCTATTCTACATGGACAACTGTGACAAAAAGGGACTTTAACGTGTCACATGGCACAAAAGGCAGAGCCGACCCCCATGCTGAGATATCAGCCTGGCTGATCTGCGTATGCTTTTGTTGACAAAATGGACTTGCAGATGGGGAAAGGAAAGTGTAGTTTGTATATCCTGATGTAAAATGAAAATAAAGTTCAGTTGCTGTTTGTATCTCCTTGCAGTAACTATCCAAGATCGGTTATAATGTGAATGCTGGTGGATAAAGTGACTCCAAGCCTAGGTAATAGCACTTAATATAGCGATCAGCTGTGCAAGTTAATGGAAGTACCCATGGACAAAATTAGGCCTTCAGTAACAGAGACGCCAGGGACGTATCGTCACAACGACATCAAGTTGTATTCCAAGAGTAAGTGGGACATTGATTCACTGATCCACCTAACTCGGATATACAGCTAGGACATCAGAATGTCATTCAGACTAGATAAGTATGAGTGAATCATAGGAAAAAGAGCCACATGGTCAGGACAAAGGGAGCTCAAGTACCAGGAGGTCAAATAGGAGATCTAGAGAACAACTACAAATACCAAGAGGCACACAAACACATGGCAACCACGAGGAAGAGCAAGAAGGATAGCAACATCCCACTACCTCCAGAGAGTTAGACAAGTCTTGAAGCCCCAGCTCAATGGCAAAAACAAGATCTAAGCCATCAACACATATGCCGTACCAGTCATTATCAACCCAGCTGTAATAATAAGCTGCTGAAGAGAAGAATTGGTCACCATGGATCTCAAGACCCAGAAACTACTTATTATGATTGGAAGATTCCACCTGAAATTCAGCACCCAGAGATTGTACATCAGTCAGAAGGAAGGACGCAAGGCCTGTGGGACTTTCAGATCCAGGCAGACAAGCAATTAGTGGTCAACCAATTTAGTATTATGATGGTAGACAAGGAATGGAAAATTGCAGTAGTGGTGGATGTGGCAATACCCAGTGACTCTGACATCAGGAAGTAGGAACATGAGAAGGTGGACAAATATCATAGGATTGAAAGAGGCGCAAGAAAGGATGTGGAAAGAGAAGTCAGTATTAATTCCAGTTGTGATAGCAGCACTCAGGGCTGTGACTCCCGAGTTGGTGGAGTGGCTTTAGCAGATTTCAAGTGGGACACCTGAGATTACTGTCCATAAGAGTGCTGCTCTAAGAACAGTTAAGATACTGCTCATAACCCCCAGACTCCCAGGCCTCTGGTATAGGACCTGAAAATAAGGAATAAACAAAAATAAATGATGCCACCCTGAGAGGTGAGAATGTAAGTTTTAGATAGATAGATAGATAGATAGATAGATAGATGGATAAATAGATAGATAGATCTGCACTTATCCTACAATATGAAGACTAGCTTTAAGGTATTTAGATAAGTTTATGACTATACTTTGGAGAATTTGGATATTTATTTACAGGCTATAACTAAGCCTGTCATGCATTTGTCTGATATATATACATACACATATATATATGTATGTGCATTTGTCTGATATATATACATACACACATATATATATATATATATATATATATATATATATAAAAGTAAAAAGCTTCTGCACGCTACCTCCAGCCAAGATGATACCGGATACCGGGTGATATAAAAGTAGATAAATACAGGCACTCCTGGATTTGTACAGTACAAAGATTTATTGTCACAAGTCAGTCAATGTTTCTGTTTCTAGCTTGGAACTTTTATCAGGATGTCCTGATGAAAGTTCCAAGGAAGGAACTGAAACGTTGACTGACTTGTGACAATAAATCGTTGTACTGTACAAATCCAGGAGTGCCGGTATTTATCTACTTTTATATATATATATATGTATATATATATATATATATATATATATATATATATAAATATATATAGAAGGCTTGGTCTGTAATTGTGGGAGGTACATGGAACCCTACTTAAACCCAGTGAGCCCCTGCTGACCTGTCGTCAACGATCACGGAAGTGATTCGCTTTATTTCCGGTTCATGTGATCCCGACATCATTTCCGCTGCCGGCAGTTGCTTTGTGTTAGGCCTGACGATCTTCATGTGTGTTCCAGTCAGCTCTGCCCAGCTGCCAGCAAGTCTCTCAGCCATCCGTCCCCTCTACTGGAAGCATTCTCGTGGCTCCATGTTTCCGGTTTCCGACTTCTAACCGTAAGTCCGGTACCGTTACCCCAGCTCGTTTTACATCCAGGGTCAGGTACACACGTGATACCTTCCTGGTTCTCCCTGCCCGGCTACGTATCTCTCTGCAGGAATCACCACGTGGAAGCCGGTGAGGGGGAGTCACTCATGCCATCCTCGTCATTACGCTCAGGCGAACAAGTCACTGTGCAGGAGATAGAGCCAGACACAGTTCCTTACCTATACATATGCTGCCCGAACACACTTGCAACTCTTCAGAGCCAATTTCACTTCCAGCTGTCATCACAGGCTTTCTTCATTAACCTCTACACTGACAGCTCAGTTACAGTTGTGGTTCTTGCCATCTGGTGGCGGTGGGTTGCATGACTAAACGGGTGCATCAAACACACCATATGTACCGTTCACTAGGTGAACCCTCAGACTCTCTGGGGTACCCGGCAATGAGTTACAACCATTTCGCCCCCCACGTACACACAGGGTACGGGGCGTGTAAAGGGATCCCCTTTAATATTTGCCGCGTACCGGCTTTGTTTAGCCAATCAAGCGGTTAATAAATTAACCCCTCTACGAGCGTGCGGTCCATTTCGTGGACATCTCCCTATTTCGTGCGGCATTCGGCGATTTCAATCATAGCACTGCTATTCCCCCCATTTAAGTTTGTTTCAGCTTTTCGTTTGCCAGATAGTCATTGTCTGGCTGATATCGCCACATTGTGGCTTTTAAAATGATAATTGGTTACTTGCATTTAATGTTTTGCAAACTTTTGTTTATTCCACATTTATTCACATTATAGTAAAAGTTAAACTCCGGTCGTAACAGAGCTGGTAAAGCTTTTCATTAAATTTAAACAGCTTTCAATGGCAAAGCATTTATTATGTCACTCTTTAAAACCATCCTTGTCATTCTATTCTCTAAAATATACAACATCAGTATATCCTGACGGCAGTTAAGGTATAATTTTATTAAGGTATTTCTTCTTATGCATAGCTAATGTGTTTTATATAAGTATGCTAAACCGGGTAAAATTATGCTTAGATTCTGTGTTGTGCATTGCTAACTGGCGTTTCGGTTAATCTTTCGTATGTATTATCCGTTCACATAAAACACTTATGTTTTTCCATTAGTATACACATAGTCACACTTTC